CTTCCACAGCAATTAATTTTCGTCACTAGTTTTTTTCAAAAATATCGTAATTGGCTCTATAACCAACTATTTCTTAAAAAAAGGGACCAACTTTAAATATTTTCTCACGTCTATGCCTTAAGGCTTAAGCTTATAAGCTTAAGCCTTAAGGCATAGACGTGAGAAAATATTTAATATATATGGAGGGTGTATTCGATGCTTAATTACTTGTGTATACTATATATAATTAATATAAAAGAATTCTTTTATATTAATTATACACTTAAGTAATTAAGCATCGAATACACCCTCCATAAGCTTGAACTTTTTAAGGTCTTCGATTTTTCTATAAGGTAAGCTAATAAATTAGTAATAATACATTTTCAGATAAACTTTTGGCGTCCTTCCTGCTGCACCAGTCTTTAAAGTATTTGTAACATTTTTCATAGTGCTTTTTTGATTTTTCAGGTACTATAGTTATAACTGCGACACTGCAGAATTTGCAGCAATTTTTAGTTCCGGAGGAGTTCCGGTTATCGAAGTATCACTATCACTTTGAGAATTAAACATTGTTACTTTTATTTGACACAACTATTACTGTCAAAAATTATATCTCATTTAATAATTAAATTATTAAATTATTGTTTGCCATTTCCATGGAAACCATTCTAGATTATTGAATTATTTATAATTTATTATTACCCATAATATAACAAGTGGTATGATTATCATCGATGATATTTTGAATTGAAACCGAGCTGCAGGACGAGTGAAATGTGCTGCTTCGGTTTCAATGAGTAAATATCATCGATAATTACCTTCTTATATATGCCTACAAGACAATTATCGCGATAATTGTCTACTAGGAATCGATAATTCCACTGTATCTACGTATCCATGGCAATTAATAAAAATAACGTCAGCTGACTAGTTTGTATTTTAATGTGACAGTTATTTAAAATGTCACGTTTTGGTAAAGAATCATTTGATTCAATTAATGAAAATGTGAAAAATAGTGTTAAAATATTTGAAAATGTTATTCTTTGATTTAATTATAATTTAATAATAATAATAAACTATAGTTTATTCGTATAATTATCTAAACAAATTACACTCGTGCATAAAAATAATCAGATAATTTTGCATTCAAGCATATTGCCTTTTAAAAAATGCATTCGGTCATTTTCATATTTTGAGGAAAGAGCCCTCCACCTTCGTTGTCGGGCTCTTTCCAAAATATGAAAATGAACTCATGCATTTTTTAGGCAATATGCTTTCAAGCAAAATTATCGATAATTGTGTATACACAATTATAATTACCCCCGATAATTAATCATACCACGAGTTATATTTAGTGAGAAAATATAATGAATTTTAGGATTTAACGAATTGTCAGTTTGACATTCGAAATTAAAATGTGCTTTAAAATATAAAAAGATTTTAATAAACCTTATTTTTCAAACTTACCTTAATTTTATTATCGTTTACACCAACCCATCGATCTTTTAGAGTTTATAATTCATTATTTTAATCATTTAACAAACACAGTAAATGTCAACAAATTTCAAATCAAAAAAAGTGTCAAAATCCTTAGCAAAAAAACAAGGTGATAATAGTTATTTGTTTTACAAGTGTTGAAAAGCGACTTTTTCATGCGAGTTTTTAAGTTGCCCACGAGGCCGTTAGGCCGAGTGTGCATTAATGCACACATTAATTAATTAACACGAGCTTGAAGAAAGCTTTTCTCACAAGTATAACACAATGTTTTTTCTGCGACCCTTTTATTTTTTATTATTTTTAAATACAAAACAAAATAACCTAAAAACTTTTTTGACAGCTGAATGTCAAACGATGCTTTCCGGTTCTTTTCACACAGACCTGTCACTTTTCAAACAGAAATGTCACTTTACATTCGTGTTTTGCCTTGCCAATGAAAAGATTCATTTTCTAAGCAACGATGCCAGCATGAAAAGTGACTTTTACATAGTGGTCGTAGAAAAAAAAATTGTCGCTGTGATTAAATGCGTAACTATGGAATACTGGCATTTTATTGGTTCTAATGATAATGAATTGTATTGTCTATCAAATATAATTAAAGTTTACAATGTAGCAATAAAACTTAGGTACTTATGTTTATTTTTTACGGTTGCCCAAAAAATATTGTGTATACCACACCCTCAAAACCCCTTAGAGTCCTCGAGATTATCTTGCCTCGGCGGCAATTTATCCCTCGTATCTCTAAGGCTTTCGCTGTTATTTTCTTTAGAAGTAAAAAGGTTTCCGGGTTTTAAGCCCCGTATCATTGTTATTCGGTAATTCGGTAATTACAATGATACGCGGTTTAAAACCCGGAAACATTTTTACTTCTAAATTTATCCCTCGGTATACTCTAAAGAGCGCTTTTGCGGCCTTGGTATACAAATAACTAATATTATTTATTATTTTATTTATTATTATTGTAATATAAAGCTAAAAAATATTTTAAAAATGTATAATTTTTTATTAATATAATTTCATCAAATTATGTTTAAATTATTTCGAAACTTTAAAATTATTTCTAATGAAAATAATATTTTTATAATTATCAAAATTTATGCAAAAGGTAATTATTCAGAACAAAAATTTCAAATTTCATCTTCATTTGACAAGGTTTTGAGAAAAAAATTGAAAAAAATATTTTTGCCGAGTGTTCATATTTATCACAACAGTGTTCTCCAAACACTATAGACACACTAATGACACACTAACTTTCACACTTAATGACACTATAAATAAAGTTTATAGTATAAACACACTAGTGAACACTGCTTAAACACTTGACAACACTATAAACACACTATTCAACACCACAAGAACACTAAGCAAACACTATAAGACACTTTAGGTACACTATAGAACACCATAGAACACCATGCATAGTGTTTTATAGTGTTTTTTGACAAGGGACATACTACATTATGATCGGTACCTACTATGCGTTGATAAATACATTTTATTTTATACAATGCAAAAATGCAAAAAGTTATATTTATAAGAAACACATTGAATTAACGGTTGTGAAATGTGAATGTCAATATTTTTTGGTTAGCATATTTGTTGACGTTTGGTTGCGATTTGTTTCAGCTGCAGCGTTTTCAAAACGAGCGACGAATTACACATAAAATTCCTACTTAACAAGCACTAATAAAAATTTTTTTGCTTATATAAAAAAAACTAAAACTTAAAAACGCCTAGGCGTATTCATGCTCACTTAAAATAAGAAATATGGAATAAGAAATAAGATCGCGATTAATCGTTCATGCTGATAACATAAGAAATAAAAAATGTTGTCACACAATTATATTTTATTATAGTGGATTATATTTTGGCTATATCGTAAACAATCGACAGCGACACTCAACGCGATCTGGTCTGATCTGTACCGGGTACAGTGTACCCTGCTTGATCCATGGCCAGCACATAAAACCCATAAAACCAATTCACTTACCAATTTTATCCTTTGCGCAGTTTTATACGCAAAAATAAGAACCAAAGTTAAAAGTTATTTATCTTTAGTCTTATTTCTTATTTCTTATTTCTTATTTCTTATTTCTTATTTCTTATTTCTTATTTCTTATTTCTTATTTCTTATTTCTTATTTCTTATTTCTTATTTCTTATTTCTTATTTCTTATTTCTTATTTCTTATTTCTTATTTCTTATTTCTTATTTCTTATTTCTTATTTCTTATTTCTTATTTCTTATTTCTTATTTCTTATTTCTTATTTCTTATTTCTTATTTCTTATTTCTTATTTCTTATTTCTTATTTCTTATTTCTTATTTCTTATTTCTTATTTCTTATTTCTTATTTCTTATTTCTTATTTCTTATTTCTTATTTCTTATTTCTTATTTCTTATTTCTTATTTCTTATTTCTTATTTCTTATTTCTTATTTCTTATTTCTTATTTCTTATTTCTTATTTCTTATTTCTTATTTCTTATTTCTTATTTCTTATTTCTTATTTCTTATTTCTTATTTCTTATTTCTTATTTCTTATTTCTTATTTCTTATTTCTTATTTCTTATTTCTTATTTCTTATTTCTTATTTCTTATTTCTTATTTCTTATTTCTTATTTCTTATTTCTTATTTCTTATTTCTTATTTCTTATTTTAAGTGAGCATAAATGCGCCTTAAAGGCAACTCTTAAAATTCAATAAAAAAATGTAAAAAAATTTACAAAATTAATATCTTATCTTAAAAAAAACCTGTGGGATAACGAGCAAAATATGAAATTTTAACCGGAGACGAAGTCAATGAAGTTATTATGCATAATGTGTACATGTGTAGAGCCGATGAAGAACAGTGCACAGGGTACCTAATGGTGAAGGTTGTGCTGCTTTTTGGTATTTCGGGGGCATGCCGCAGGGAAGAACTTATGAAGATGACAGTGGATGACGTGAAGGATGTGTTAACCTCACTTTTTACCAATTTTAAATATTGTTATAGTCGCCTTCTTCCAATTTAAAACCCGATTGGTTCAAATCACAGGGAATATTAAAATTGGCCAATGACTGATGCCTAACGATTGTTAACGTTAACATTAATAATTAGTTCATTATTCCCGTTATTGGGGATGGTTATTATTATAACCATAAAAAAAAACAATATTATGCACATATGCAATAGTAGTAGATACAAATATATTTTATTATCAAAAATACGATACGATAGCCTATCGTCGATATGTACGTCAAAAGAATTGGCCCCCTTAGGTTTTCACACACATCCTGCATACTCGTACTGAAATACCTTCTTATTTTATTTAAATTTTGTGCAGCTGCACAACCTTTTTTTATTTAAGTAATAAAAAATAAATAAATTATTATAATTATTTATTTCATATATTTCTAAATTAGAAATATATGAAATTCTAATGCATATTATTTATTTGTTTTTAATCTTTGTACTGCATTTTTGAGATTTGTAAGTAATCTTAGATAATAAAATATCTTTAAGAGTTATATAAATTATTACCTTCAAATACAAATATTATTAGCCAAAAAACATTACAAGTATAAAGAAAAATGTTGCATTTTACTCTAATATGTCTCGTATTTTTTGGCCTATCCAATGGATTGGATCCAGATGATATTGGAATTGATATTGTAAGTATTGTTTAATTTTAATATAATACTACAAGAGAATAAAGTTTACTTTTTGGTTTGTATATTTTATAAAGCTTCAGAAATTTCTAGTATATAGCATGATCAATAAAAGCGTATTTATTTCTTAATTTCTGGTTGTTTTTTTACGCAAATATGTTATTTTTAAAGCTAATAATTAAAAAATTTAATTTTTTTTAATTTAAATTATAATTGAACGGGGCTTCATTAGTTATAAGAGCAAAATTAAGGCATGATCAAAGTTGCCCCAAATGAAGTAAAACTTTGATCGGGCCCATCTTTTTTTTTTTTTAATTTTTCTTAAAATTTAGTGAATGCCTAATAAGGTTTTAGATTAATTAAATAACTGAATAATATTTCCCTTTTTTTGTTTTCAAATATCTCAACTAGTTAGTTAACTACAATCAAAAATTAAAATTGTATTGATCAAAGAAGCCCCAGTTGACGCTACCACTATAAATATGTCGCTGTTCCTTAAATTATTTTAATGCCAGTAATAAATTACTAAATATGGTTAGTAACGACCTTATTAAAACTTGTCTTAATAATCATTACTACAGTTAGTTAATTGTGTCAGTTGTTACGGAAGATCAAGCTTGAATGTCGTCATAAGTTATTATTGAAAAAAAGTGCGTTTTGTCCATAGAGAAAGGTTTTGCGATGTCCTACAAAACATAATGGCTTTCAAAGTTACTCTGCTCAGCGATTTTATTGAAGAGTAGGCTGGCTAATTTTTTTTAGAAAATTATATATGGAGCTGGTAAATAAATGAAGCTGGTATATATAAATGGAAATAAATCATAATTTCTACTAAATATTTAAAGCATTATTTATACTAAAAGTGAAGTCATAAAAATTAAGTCCCAACGAGAAAAAATGTAATGTTAGATTGTTATTTCTGTCCTCTATAGTGAAAATAATTTCGGCATTAATCTCTATTTTATTTCCTAAAAAAAATTGGGAAAACTTGGTAAACTTTAGTAAAATTATTTCCTGATTTTTTTATAATCTTATAGGTTAGAGTGCTCTAAACTATGAAAATAATGGTGTTGGTAATTTTTAGGAGATAAAATAAAGATTTATATCGAAATTATTTATATTTATTCACCGCCGATGAGTCATCATTCCGAGATCCAAAGCGGTAATCGCTACATTGCCCCAGCCTTAAAACATTTTCGTCCCGAAAATGGTCCTCAGCTTCATGGCGATATTTGCATAGAGATCCAAACTTGCATTGTGACGTCCTATAGAAGTAGCAGTCTACGGTCTTCATTCCGGTTGTTCTTTTAGGGTTGTGGCAACAGACAAGAATGTGTATGCCACTAAATCTGAAGATTACTTCCACTATACTTCTAATTATTCTCCAGTCTAAACCGTCAAATCCACATGCAATCTTCGGTATCGCCAGGTTAATGATGTCCTTGAACAAAAGGGTATCCCTCAATTTATTTAAGGCATTCCATAGGTCACGGTAATTTGGCTTCTGATGGGAGAGCTGCTTCGTTACCAGATAGAAGATGCTTTTTTTGCCTATCTGCTCATTATCCACAATTTCAAGCACCTCTCCAACTTTGGGATTCTGCCTTCGTAGATCGTCGACCCGTCCAAACTTGTTTTTAAATACAACCGCTATTCCCCTGGACATCCTAAGGTCTTCTGCAATACAGTGAGCCAAGGAGTAATCGGCCAAAACCATGAATAGATCTTTTTGTTCTTCTCGAGTGACACCATACCGAGCTTTTTTACCGCTCGAATATTAATACATGAAGTCTTCAAAAGGCAACTCGTCTTCCAGCGGATTAAGTCTCCTTACTCTAGCATCATCTATTTGATCATTGTTTCCAGCGTAAGGAGCCAATCGGTTAAAATGGATCACTTTCGGCTTTCCTCTTGGTTGTTTTTTGATCCTGTAGATGATGTCATTTATGCGATCTTCGTATGGTCCTTCCCAAGAAGTCTGCAGCTTCGGTGAATAACCACGACGGCGCTGAGGGTTGTATAACCAAACTAGGTCTCCGCCCTGGTGTCGTATGCCTCTTTCATTCTATCACTGGCACTTTGGATGTTTAAACGAACTCGGCTGTGAATGTAGCTCATTTTCTTACGTAAATTGCTGACGTAATATTCTCCAGCAATATATGCCCCTGGTAGGCAACCAAAGCTCAGGTCACAAGGTAGACGAAGTTCACGTCCCATAACAATACTAGCGCGTGTCTGACCGGTTGTATCGGAAGGGACATCGGAAGGGACATAGGAACAGATGGAGGAAGCGGTCCCAGTCTCTTTGGTGATCAGAGACTACCTTGGAGAGGTACCGGTTTATCGTTCAATTCATTCCTTATACCATTCCATCAGACTGCGGATGTAATGCAGTCGTCCTCGTCTTCCGAATGTTAAGAATCTTACAGACATTCTGGAACAATATAGATTCTATAAGTTCTGAATGCATCTCCATTGGCATACCAAAACGATAAATTCACTCCTTAATAAGGGCATCGGCCACTGTGGCAGCTTCCTGGTTTGGCAAAGCGTACGCTTCCGCCCACTTGCTGAAGTAGTCCATTACAACAATGATGTATTTATTTCCAGATTCTGTTTTCGGAAATGGACCCGCCACGTCGATTGCAATTCTCTCAAATGGGCTGACCACATTGTACTGTCGCATTGGAGCTTTCGGGCGCTTCTGGGTTCAATTACTTGCTGCGCAAACGGCGCACTTCTTTCACCATTTCTTTACATCTCGGTAACAATTGACCCAATAAAACCGTTCCCTAAGTCTTCCAAGCGTTCTCGTCACACCAAGATGTCCTCCAGGACTTCCATCATGGATTTCCTGCAGCACTTCTGATATCCTGTTTCTGGGGATTATTAACTGCTTCCGGTCCCCCCTTCTGGAGTCTCCAGATCGCGCTTTAGAAGTCCTTCACTTAAGAGAAAGGAATTCTGGCGAATGTTGGTCGATAATGGGCTTCAAATCTGGGTCCCCTTCCTGGTCTTGTTGAACCCCATCGGACTGCCAATGATCAAGTGTAGTCCTGCGACTAAACAAATCCTTTTCTTCGGCCCTGAGACAATGTTTACAGTCTTCCGGGCACGGTCTTCTTGACAAGGCGTCAGCATTTTTATGGATGGTCCCAGCCCGATGTTCTGTTTCTTTAAATTAACAACAAAAGGTATCGCTCCTAAATCCATTGATATTCATATTGATATTTATTTGTTAGAATGGTAGAATGTTATTGCATTAAATACTAATTTGATTTATTTAATAACCTTACTATATTGTATGTATACATTTAACGCAATAAATTCTTTGACATTTAGGCAAAATATTTCCCTATTTTGGTTTAATAGTAATTAATTGAGCAAATAACAATTTAGATTGCTTCAATTTTAATGCATTCAATGACAGCGCTGTACTTGGTACTATGTTAGATTTTTTTCTGTGTGTCCAAAATAAATTCACTATCCGGAAGAGGATAACTCTGGACTGGTGAGCTGGTCAACGCGTTTTTTAGGTTCTTAAAGGCTTCTTGGCATTCGTCGTCCCATTGGAATCGTCTTTCTCCCTCTGTTAAACGTGTCAAAGGCTTAACAACCTTTGCGAATCCTGGTACGTACCGACGGTAATAGGTGCATAATCCAAGAAAGCTTCTTAAGTCATGTTTGTTCTTCGGTATTGGCCATTCCCGCACCGTATTCACCGTCTGTTTGTCCACTGCCACTCCTTGACTTGAAACAACATGGCACAGATACTGCACTTCCCTCTGGAACTTCAGGTTCTTCATATGGTCCTCAAATGATTTCCCAACCACAATAATATCGTCAAGGTACACCAAGCAAGTCTTCCAGGATAGTCCATTCAAAACCATTTTCATGAGCCTTTCAAAGGTTGCAGAGGCATTACATAGTCCAAACGGTATGACTGTAAACTGCCACAGTCCAGCACCCGCTTAAGGTCCGCCACTTTTAAATCCATTAACGAAACCATTTTTGCGAAGTTTCACGTTTTTACTGTTTGTAGTGTGAATTAAAACACGCACTAGTTTATTAACGAACTTAACGATTTATTTTATAACTTAATTACACTTAAAACACTAAAAAACTAACTAAACACTTAACTACTAAATATTTATATAACACTACTGTACAAGAGTCTATTTATTTGCACGTATATTTATTTTATTTCGTCGCGAATACCAAAGCTTGACTGACTGCTCTATGCTGCGCTGTTCCTTATATATTCAGTGCCTACGAACCTTCCCGAATATTCCAGCGAGCTCCGGACCGCTCTCGATCGCTCGAGCGCCGACTCACCGGCGATAAGTCATCATTCCGAGACCTAGAGCGGTACTCGCTACAGTATTGTGGAAAATTATTATATAATTTTATGCCAGAAACGAATGGTGATTTTTCAAATTATTTTAAATTATGTTTTGAAATACTGAGCATTATCACTTCTGGTGCTTTTAATTATGGTACCTGCCATTTATATGGAAAGATGCCAGAATTTTAGAACATATATTGTTGTAATAATAAATGTAGGTGCTGGGCAAGGTGAGAATTCTGACTGACTTACGTGGCAAAACTTGGGTAACTACACCTTTTCGAATTGTATTTCAGAAAGCGTCAAATCTATTTCAGAAAGCGACAAATGTATTTCAGAATAGTCAAATGTATTTCAGAAAGCGTTAAATGTATTTCAGAATAGTCTTATTTCTATGCTTCCACACATATACCGATTATTGGCTATATTTTGCATAGATGACCTTCTCTCTAAAAATGAATTAGTTAAAAATGACTAATTTAATAGTTATTAGTGGCTGCTTTTTCACTTGTATCATTTTTAACCATGGAATACCATGGTATTCCAAAATTTAACAGCCAATTCTTATTTAAAATTGTCCACTTAATCCAAAAATGTCGTTAAAGTTAAAAAAGTAAACCAGTTTTTGAGATATAGTCAATTTTCCATTTAATATGGA